ATTAACCTTGTCAACCAATAAACCAGATAAATTAATTAGACGATTTAAGTGAAAAATTCAACGGGATTGTTAGCTAACCCATAGCTCTAGAATATTCTCTCCCATTGAATTCGTCTTTAAGCTTGTCATTGTTTTCTTTAAACTCTTAGTTTGTTATTCCAGATTAACTTTAGTTAAATATTCATACTTTAGGATTCATTTGAATAGATTAATTATTTGGTTTAATCTAGTTGATAGTTAATCACAAGCCCCTATGGGTACGATATCTGGACTTACAATCCAATATTACTTGTCAACCACGTATACCTGCGTGTGCGTTTCGGAGCAACAGCCGGTCAAGAATGATAATTGGTCGAATATTGGTTATTCTTATTATGGTGATCCTATTTTATATTGTGGAGGACCACACTTGTGGAAAAATTGTGAATCTCAATCTTATGCGTGGAATATTTGTAATATGTGTGGTAGTCAAGGTGGCCATTGGGATGGTTATCCTAATTCTTATTATCCTTCTCAGAGCTCTTATTATGATGTTTCTAATAATGTTTATGAGTCTGGTAGGAGCAAGGAAGTGGAGGATGTGGAACGCGTTGCGCGTATTATGGACATGATGAGGCAAGTAATAGCCGAGCAACAGGACATGATAAGGCAAGTAGCCGAGCAAAAAGTTCTTGGCGCCTTTGCGATCAAAGGACTGTAGGGTAGAATGGACGAATTAATGGCCAATTTTCAAGAAGAACTTCAACTCGACGAAGAGAGAGAGTTCCCACAAGAAGATAACTTTGAAGAAGAACATATAGTGAGCTAATCTTGGCTAGAGGAACAAGCTCAACCGATAAAATCTCATGAGTTTCTACGTGATGGACTTTCAAATATGGCAGAACAACTGATAGACGAAAGAGCTGAGCTCAGGCAAGAGATAGACCAATTTGGCTCAGATATCCACGACCTGCAGGCTCAATTGAATAGAAAGGTTGAGGTGTCTGATGCCCTACAACCAATTTTTGTGGATGCTGGACAACTTATGGATCGGAAAAAGGAATTTCAACTACTCGACCACAATACAATTAATGATGCCAAGGTTGACGAAGTGTGCACAAGTGAGGATGTCAAAAGTGAAGTGATTTTAGAGTTGAAGCACATTGGACCTTATTCTAACAATTTTTAAACATTGTGCTTGGTTGGTGACACGAGAATTGTTCCATTCGATCCTATGGAGGAGTCAATGAATAGGGAACAAAGTGCATATATTCTGAAATTTGTGATGCCAAGGAGACAAAACGACATCCCTCACTTAAAGGCCAAAAAGTGCAAGATGCGATATCTATTGCTTGGTTCCTTTATTTTTACACCACCGCCCCAGGAACATGAAAGAAAAATTGATGCAAAATTGGGGGTGCAATTTATATCCTCAAAGTGGAGGAAAAAGTGGTGAAACTGATAGCGTCGTGTCACGACTATAAATAAGGCGCTTGTTGGGAGGCAACCCAATTCTATTTTTTCTTTTTATTTTTGTTTATTTCTTTTATTGTGTTATTTTTATGTTTTGTAGGAGAAAGAAGTCAAAGCCAATAGGCATGTGCAAAAGCGAGCAGGTGGTTGAAACTATGTGTGGGGTACCCGCACAAGGGATAATACCTGGGCGAAGTCTGAGTGCCCGTGAGCTGCTAATTTTTCGGCCTTTGGCCTACCAAGGAGTCTCTTTTACACTCTTGTTATTTATAGTGTGCATTGAGGACATTGCACAGTTTTAAGTATGGGGTGAGGAGATTGTCTGGGTGATTTTCTATGCTATTTTAGCTTAGTTGTAGTACTCGTTCTTAGTGTAGTAGTTTTTATTTTTTGGACCTTTCCTGACGATGGATTTTGTGTACCGCTTTCTTGTGGGATTAAAGTCCAATAAAAAAGTATTCTTTGTAGGTAGTGTAATAATTCCCCCTTGGTTTTTCTTTGTGCCGCGGTTCTTTTCCTAGGGTTTTGTTTGAACCGGGTGTAGTTAGTTGTATTTTTTTAAGGAGTAGGAGCCAGTATGCTGTGATTGGAATTGAAGCAATATCTCTTGACTTTGTTATGCCATGAGAATAGTGAGTACTTTGGTTGTGATGCTTAGGATCAGTTTTTGACTCTTGTATAAGTACCTTAAATTGTATGATCTTAACTTTGCTTAACTGCTTTGACTAGAGTGTTTTGACGAGTCCAATCCTGAGTGAGTTATATTCCATATGTGTGTGAGGTTTATGAGTTATTCTAGGCATTGCATTTGATGTCTAGAACTTGCCCCGTGTGTAATTATGCTTAAAGAAGTAGGGAGTTGATGTATATTGATGTGAAGGTGGAATTATAGTTTGACATATGTGTGGGGTTATAAATGTTAATGTGTATGTATTACAGTGCTTAGGGAGGTATAGTCACTCTTATATCTAAATGTATCCTACCCGACCTTCAGCCTACATTACAACCAAATAAAGTCCTACTTGATCCTTGACTGATCGGACTTAATTAGTAGAGCAGGACACTACGGGCAAGCCTATGGTGCATTTTTTGTGGCATATGAATGTTGTTTATGAGAGTGAGATAATTCTTTCTATATTGAGTTCCTAATTGTTCTTAAATTTTATTGAGTGTGGAACTACTCTCTTTTGTTGTGTGAGGGAACTTGATTCATAAAGAAAAGGTAATGCTTGACCTCTACGTTAGAGTAAGTGAGCGGGTTGTGAAAAATGCATGGTGCTTGTGAGTCAAATCTTGAGGTGAAGATGTTACACTCTTGTGCTTAGTCTATTTTAAAGATTCTTGGTGTGATGAGTTAAGAGAATTGTTTAAAAAGGTCGTGTCTATATAAAGTGTAGTTTGATTGCTCGAGGACGAGCAATGGTTTAAGTGTGGGGTGTTGATGGTAGGCTATAATTACGTATTTTAGTCGGTTATTATACTTTAATTTGCTACACTTTAATTGATTTTGACCTTTAATCGCTAGTGTTTTGCACTAATTGCGTGTTTTATGCCTTGTAAGAGTGATTCTGAGCTATGCAGATGTTATGGAACGAAATCGAGCTATTTGGAGCTTTGAAGTATGAGTAAAAGCCCAAGAGATTAAGACGGGATCGTGTTCGGGGGCTGAGGATCAATTCTGGACGTCAAAATTCAAGGAAGAAGCAGCCGCTAAAGAAATGCACTAGTGCGAGGCACTGTGCGACGCACAGTGCGAGGCATTAGTGTAATTCTATGTCAGAAATTTCCAAAATTCAGAAACTGGATTTTTTTTGGTCTGACAGGAAAAAACACTAGTGCGACGCACGGGGCGACGCATAGTGCGACGCATGAAAAGCAATAAGTTTGCAAGTTTTCCTATTTCGGCTAGGAAAAAGTAGATTTCGTCTTGGCCCAACCCTACTTGGTATAAATACATGTAAAGATGTTATTTTGAGGACATCTAACAAATTTTGAAGGAGAATTCACATAGAGGAACACACACCACGCTTGGAGGAGGCTTCTAACTAGTTTTTTTTCTCTTCTCTTCCTTTAATCTCATAGTTTATTAGTTTTAGAGTTGTTGGGTGCTACATGAACGTTATAGTTTGAAGTTTAAATTGTTCTTATTATTTTATCATATTGGTTTTTATTTATTCAATTTTACGCTTAATTATTTGATTGTCTGATCACCAATTGAATACCATCTACGAATCTAGGATTGAACTCGGGAGAGGGAACTCTAGATTGCATATAAGATTGAGTAGAGCAAGATCTTAACTCTGAGTGGAGGGCGGATTTGCGGTTAGGATAGGAATATACCTAATCGCCTTGCTTGGTTACTATATAGGAATTATTAATGTGTTCTTGTTAATTCTAATTCCATAGGAATATAGGTGTTAGATTAGCTTGAATAGGCGAGTAGTATTTCGGGGGAAGGCTACGAGCAATATCAACCCTATTAACGAATAAAGTAGATAAATTAATTAGACGATTTAAGTAAAAAACTCAACGGGATTGTTAGCTAACCCATAGCTCTAGAATATTCTCTCCCATTAAATTCGTCTTTAAGCTTGTCGTTGTTTTCTTTAATCTCTTAGTTTGTTATTCTAGATTAATTTTAGTTAAATATTCATACTTTATGATTCGCTTGAATAGATTAGTTGTTTGGTTTAATTTAGTTGATAGTTAATCACAAGTCCCTGTGGTTACGATATCTGGACTTACAATCCTATATTACTTGTCGACCTCGTATACTTGCGTGTGCGTTTGGGAGCAACAACCGGTCAAGAACTCTCATACCTAGAAGCTAAAAGTAGCTAAGATGAGGATGTTGAGTTGGATGTGTGGGCATACCCGGTTGGATAAGATAAGGAATGAAGTTATTCGGGAAAAGGTGGGAGTGGACCCTGTGGAGGATAAGATGCGGGAGGGGAGGCTGAGATGGTTCGGGCATGTTAAGAGAAGAAGTATAGAAGCCCCAGTTAGAAGGTGCGAGCGGTTAGCCTCGGTGAGTAATAGGAAGGGCAGAGGTAGGCCTAAGAAGTCTCGGGGAGAATTTCCTTATGCTGCTGCTGGTACCCTGACTAATTAGGAACGATCGAGAATTTCCTTCTCCACTACGATGGATTGTGCTTTAAGATTAACTCATAAGGTATAGCATGGTTTATGCACCCCTCACTCCTTAACGTATTTTATCAAAGCATTTTAAGTAATATCTAATGTTGGTGAATCTTTTTCTTATGCTGTCTGATTATTATTACCTATTGTAGTAAGTAACATTTATAAATCATACTTTTCATATTTTGGGTAACTTGTTCGATATAAATATTAAACTCTATCAATTTCCAATGTTACCATCCTATTTCTTTAGGCTATAAACTCAAGGTAGTGTAAGTAATTAGTTGTATTTAGCCTGGCTGCTTGAGTGAATAAATTTATACCATCAACGACTAAAAATTAAGTAAAAGGAAAGAAAAACAAAAAACAGAAAGAACAGAGAGAAGAGATTAAATCTGCGGGAAGAGACATTAACTAAATAAGATAGATGTTCTATATATCAAGATTGGATTGTAATACAACCAACCGCTAAAGTTTCATTACAAGACTCGTTTAAGACTTCAAAAGCCAGAGAAAAAACAAAAGAGAACAGACACAAAATAGAATTGGATCCATAAGCAGGATCAAATTAGTCGATGTCCATCTTATTGTATATTCTGCTCCTGGTCTTTCATCAATCTTACTGGACCCTGCATCGCCAAATTAAACCAACACATTAACCACGGAACTTCCTGAGAATGTGCAATAATGTTCTTGCATATTATATGCCAATTATATCCAGAAAAAATAATTAATAGCGAGGATGGACATATAAAGTTTCAAAATTAACTAATATTGGTGTAACTCAAAAAATTTTAACTCTCACAAACTCATGATAGCAAGCGAGGACACATCTTTTGTTTATTCATTGTCAGGTCTCATGTTGTATTTTTAACGCACCAAATGTCTGATAGTCCTGAACATGGTAAGTGTACCACATTGATTGAGGGAACGAAATATTGTTTCCTAGCTTATAAAGTAATAGGACAGTCTTCACCTCATGAGTTATACTAGTTTTCAAGATCGAGTTAGACTCAATATTCTTTTTTTTTTTTTTTTTAAGAAGAATGGAGGTCAATTCAGTTGTAACAAAATAAGTATGTTACCCCATTTTCAAGTGACTAATTAATAGTGCAAGGATAGCGAGAGCTTAGAGTGAAGAAGATGAAAAACGTACTTAGAGCAGTCAGTGGAGGGGCTGATCTTGTAGGGGATGTTGACGCCACAAGCACCAGGGAGTCCAGCGGCTTTGCCCATATCAATGCCTTTAATAGCATTAGCAGCCGATTTCAGGCAAGTGCATGCAGTCTTGCGGTCAGCTGGGGACCTTGCTGCACCCAACAGACCTTTAACACCGCCACAACAGCCTCCGAGAGGGCCGCGACCCTGCAGATAAGGGAGGCAAGGAACCAGACCAGACTGAACCTGGCCGCAGCTTAGTGCCTCTGCATGGGGTGCAACCACCACCATGCACAAGACCACGAAACATGCAATCTTGCCAACTATTTCCATTTTTTGAAAAATAATAACAGAACAATAAAGAGTAGCCTGGAGGAAGTAGAGGGAGATACTACAAATGTTATTGCCTTAGGTTTTTATAGAGAGAAAAGTGGACATAAATTAATGGTCGGCCAAAAGGAGTGAGAGAATTAGTTGGCAGTTGGGTTAAATTCAATGCTTTATAATGGTACATAATTAGGGAGGTGTCACTGAATATTAATATTAATTAGAGTATGTAATTTACGTGTTGGACTTTTAATGAACCAAGCGAGGATTTAGGCACTCTGAAAAGCGACACTCATAAAGACCATGGTCAAATGAATTTTTAGGTAACCTACTTTCCTGGAGTATGACTTAAGAAATAGTGGTAAATTTGCTTTTAATTACTCTCACTGTCTGATAAGCATCGTTCAAATTAAATACCATATGATGAGCCTAATATGTAATCCCACATTTGGGAAACTCAAGAGGTGGAGCTTAAACCCATTTGAGCGAACCTACCTCTTGACTCCCCTAGAAATGAAACAATTAGGAAATGTCTTTGAGGCATTCCTTGAGGGGTCATTTGGTACATGAATAAAAATAATAATTTTGAAATAGAATTTGAGATTATACTTATTTCACATTTGGTTATAGTTATTGACTAATCACGGGATAAAATTTATACTAAAATGCTAGAATTAGGTCTCCATATAGAAGGTGGGACAGCAAGGGAGAATTTATAAAGGATATTATGGACACGTGAACCCATGGTCTTTCCATAAAATTAAATATTTTATGTACATATTTTTTTAAAATTAGTAAAATATTAATTGTTGGTGGACATATTCTAAGAAGGTTGAATAGTGCACTTGGTTAAAGATTGAGTTATTTACCAAGATAAAAAGGGATCAATTCCCTCTTAATATACTTTTTTCTCCTTTTTTTTTTTAGTACGGAAACCATGTATTAGAAATCCTAGATCTGCCTATAAGGATAGCTAATTCTATTCATATCCAAGAGCGGAGCTATCTGATGATAGGCTATAATTACGTATTTTAGTCACTTATTACACTCTAATTTACTGCACTTTAATTGAGTTTGCGCTTTAATCGCTAGTGTTTTGCACTAACGGTGTGTTTTATGCCTTGTAGGAGTGATTCCGAGATATATAGATGTTATGGAATGAATTCAAGTGATTTGGAGCTTTGAAGTCTGAGTAAAAGCCCAAGGAATTAAGCCGGGATCGTATTCGGGGATCACCGGATGACAAAACAACAAAAGGAAGACTCGAGGAAGCATATTGCGCATTGTCTAGTAAAATAGACATAACTTTTTGCTCAGAACTCCATTTGGGCTCTACAATATATGGTTGGAAAGCTAACTCAAAGGGCACAACTTTCATGTTTTACATTTTTTCAAATTCCAAACGGAACAGGGTAAAAAACTGCGGTTACGGTAGGACCGCGGTAGGACCGCGACAGAACATTACCAGAGATTCAGAGGACCATTCTGGCCGCGGTCCTGGCGTAACCGCGGTGGGACCGCGGCAGGACGCGTAAATTTCAGGAACTAAAGTGCAAAGCACAGGATTTTAAGCCCAAAACCCTATATTAAACGAGGGAGACCGGCCAAGAGCGGGAGAGAATGATTTTTGGAAGTGAAAAACATCAGAAGGAAGGGCAAGAGGCAAGGAGGATTATTGGGCATCAATCTTTAATCTTCTTCTTTGTTCTTTTACATTTGAATATGAATTCTTTTGTGATTTTTGTTATTTTCATGAGTAGCTAACTGTTCTAATCTAAGGTTTTGGTGAAACCCGTTGGGGATGAATTGGTTGTTATAAGTAATATAGATTTGAATTAGTTTAATCTCTATTTGTTCAACTGTGTTTTGATTGTGGTTAATTGAAAGGATCCTTAATTAGCCGTTCCTATTTATTATGTATCTGCTTGAGAGAGAGTGCATATTTAGGTAGTAGTTTGAACAGCATTACTCCCGGAGTATAGGCGAGAGTCATAACCGAGGGTTTAGAGGTTGGATTAGAGATAACGATACCTCGGGTGCGATCTAAGTGAACTGTAATACGAATCTAGCTAGCGTAGCTTGAGAGAGTGCGTCTAGTAAATTATCATAATTGCTTGAGAGAGATTTATGATAGCTGGAGAGTTCATGATTGATAGAGGCAACTAAGTCAATGCTATAAGAAACATACAACCAAGGAAATCAACAACGGGGGAAACCATTACCTTAGACCTTTAATCCAATTGTTTAGAATTCAAGCATAGTTAGTTTTCAGCTGTTTATTTATTTTCAATCTTGTCTTCTTAGTGATATTAAACAGATACAGCTAAGCCTTAGTTCTCTGTGGGATTCGACTCCGGACTTTTAGACCGGATTATATTTGCAGCGACTGCTTATCCTTTTTAGGACTAGAGTTGGGCGTGATCAAATTTTGTCGCCGTTGCCGGGGAACTAACGGTGTAGTTGTAGCTGTATATATTGCTAGGGTTCATGTTTGAACTTTTAGTTTTTTTTTTTGTATTTTTTTAATAGCCGTTGATTTGAAAAACATGGCATCTTGGAATTATGGGAATTTAGGTGTAGATAATTCTATTATTGATCTCCATACATATTGTGAAGGAAACCACCCGTGGTAAAATTTTCAAAACGTTCCTAAGAGCGAGTTATGTGCACCAACTCAATCTTATTTGTGGAATGTGTGTGATGTGTGTGGTGGTAAAAATTGTCACCTTCATGGTTGTGCTTATATTTCTTATTTTCCCCCAACCCCTTACTATGATGATTCTACCTTTTCTTGTGAAGTTAATAGGAACAAAGAACCTGGGAATGCGGACCTGGGGGAAATCAAGGATATGCTAATGTGTCTTCTGGAACAAACCAATGAGAAACAATTGCACATAGAAAGGCAAGAGGCAACTATTCGCAAGTTGGAGGCTCAATTGAGTCAAGTGGTTGGAGCTTTTAATGCTCAACAAGCCAATATTGAGGATAGTAGCGAAGAAGAGCATGAATCTGAGGTGTTAATTGGGGAGGTCAGAGTAGAACATCAACAACCTAGCCAACCACAATTTGAAGATGTCAATGTTGAAGAAGTGAGACTAGAGCCAGCCAAGGACTTTGAGGATATAAATTTTGTTGACTCTAGTATCACTGATGTTGAGGATGTTGAAAGTCCTAAAGTTCATGTGTTTGAGCGCATTGGTCCACACTCCAAGCACTTTTACACATTATGTTTGGATGATGATATGGAAATAGAGTCATCAGAACCAATCGAAGAGTCAAGGAATGAGGAACAAGGTGCATATATTCTGGAATTCTTCTTGCCAGAAAGTCAGGATTACATACCTCATACAAAGGCCAAGGAGTGCAGAATACTTCATTATTTCCTTGGGCCAGTTAGATTCGTTCCACCGCCCCATGACAATTATCATAAGCTTGAATCAAAACTTGGGGTTCAATTCATAAGCTCGAGGTGGAGGAAAAAAGTGATTCGCGTCGTGCCGCGACGTTAAACCAAGCGCTTGTTGGGAGGCAACCCAGCTTTATTGCTTTCTTTTATTTATTTTTTATTTTTTTAATTGTATTATTTTTGTAGTGTCAATTTTTTTTAGGAGCATGGAAAGCAAAGGTATTGGAAGGATGCAACAGCAAATCAAATGGTTGGAACTAAGTGTGAGGTACCCGCATGAAAGACCAAGCCTGGGAGAAGTCCGAGTATCCCATGAACTGCTAGTGCTTCGGCATTTGGCCTACCAGGGAGTTTCTCTTACCCTCTTATGGTTATGCTGTACATTGGGGACAATACGCAATTTAAGTGTGGGGTGATGAGATTGTCTGGGTGACTTTTCATGCTACTTTAGCTGTATTAGTTTAATTAAATAGTATTTTTTTTAAAAAGATTGGACTTTTCCCGACGATGGATCTATTAGACAATTTTCTTGAGGGATTTAAGTCTAAAGAAAAAAAAACAAAAAGATTTTCTTTGTAGGTAGTGTAATAATTCCCCCTTGGTTTTTCTTTGGGCCACGGTTCTTTTCCAAGGATTTTATTTGAACCGGGTGTAGTTAGTTTTTTTTGGGGCGGAGTAGGAGCATTGTGTTGTGCTTTGAATTGAAGCAATATCTCTTGACTTTGTTATGCCTTGAGAATAATGAGTACTTTGGTTGTGACGCTTAGGCTCAGTTTTTGACTCTTGTATAAGTACCTTAAATTTTATGATCTTAACTTTGCTTAATTGCTTTGACTAGAGTGTCTTGATGAAACCAATCCTGAGTGAGTTATGTGCCATGTGTGTGTAAGGATTTGTTATATTGTGTGCATTACATTTGATGCCTAGAACTTGCCCTGTGTGTTTGCAAAGCGAAATAATAGTTTTATTCAGTCTAGGAAGTGATATAGGCATTTCTTTGTTGAGCCAGATATGTATATTTTACCCGCTTAATTGTTATGTATCGTAGTTAACCCCTTTGAGCATGTAATCCTGTTTCTTTGGCAACCACATTACAAGCCTTACCCATTTGTTTGAATGGACTATCTATTTGAACCTTTTAACCTCTCATAAGCACTTGAATTGTGATGATTTATGTAAAAGTTAAAGTGTGGGGTGGTTGGTTTGGCTTTTGAGTGGAACTAATAAAATCAGGAGAAAAGTGCACTGTTTTGAACAAGTAAGAGCCACTTGAATTGGAAAAAAAATATAGTTGTATTGTTGTGGAAAAAAAAGTATTTCTTTAATAAGCGGTGACTCTTGTTGTAATTGTGCTTAAAGAAGTATAGGGTAATATACATTGATGTGAAGGTGGAGTTTGGTTTGACATAAGTATGGGGTTTGAATGTTAAAGTATATGTATTAAAGTGCTTAGGGAGGTGTAGTCACTCTTATATCTAAATATATCTTACACGTCCCGTAGCCTACATTACAACCAAATAAAGTCCTAATTGATCCAAGATTGAATGAGCTCGATTAGTGGAGTAGTACACTACGGGCAAGCTTATGGTGCATCTTTTGTGGCATATGAATGTTATTTCTGAGAGTGAGTGAATTCTTTCTATCTTGAGTTCCTAAGTGTTCTTAAATTTTATTGTGT